CCCCCCCCCCATCGAGGGTCTGCAACTCGAACGCACAAATTCGAGCAACACCGCACGTCGTCTCGCTTGCAGCTCTCTGGCGTCAGGACTCGTTGGGGGGAGCTCCCTCTCGCACGACCTTGAGATTCTTACAACGAGAGGGCACCTCGTCTGGACGTCTCGGCGTCGAAGGCGGTGAGTGTGGCGAGAGCATGATTCCTAGTTGGTTGATGTCGGTCTCGTCGTGCCGAGAGCTCGAACACGCTCCAGAGCACAGGAAGAGGCGGCGCCCACCCAGGCTCTCAGTTGACAGCAGCTGCTGCGATTTTGTGCTCAGCCTAGGTCCAGCTCTCTCTGCACGCGCGCGCGCGGGCGTGTCACGCGCTCAAGTTCCGCTGCGGCTTCTTCTGTGCTGGGCGCAGGGATGAGCTTCTGCGAGAGAGCGGCGCCGCTCTCTCGCCGCTGGATCGAACATCAATCAAGAGGTTGGGAAAGAAATTGCGAGACCCAATCGCACCCCCAGTTTGTTCCCCGTGTTGCTGTGAGTGCGCGACCTACCGGCACTTGCAGCCCCGAGCCAAATGCATGCAACCGCGCGTCAGTAGACGGTGTGTGCCCACGCAGGGAAGTTGTTCGCGCCGTGGGACAAGAGAGAACTACCCTTGCGAAAGCCTCAACGCCATGAACGACCGAAAGAGATTTGTACGCACGAAAAGCCTCCTCAAGGCGAGAGGGCTTGTCGCCCGAAAAAAATAGGCGTGGATTGTAGGCGTGAACCTTCTGCGACACACCCAGGGTTGTGTTCTTTTGCAGACACCCACACTCCACCTGACAAATCGTGGTCGTATTCTCCCTCTCTCCTTCTGTGCGCTTGACTTTCAGCCGCATGGAGATTTCCATCTCACGCTTTCTGATCTGTCCACAGATTCGGCAGCAATCGCACAGCAGCAGCAAGCAAAAGCAGCAGCAGTGTTGAACGTTGGTAGATGCAGAGAGTCGTTGCGGACAGCAGCGTACAGCAGGCGGCATCGACACAAGTGGCAACGGCCCATCCCGTCCGCTCAAACTCCTATTGCTGCTTCTGAGCTCAACAGAAATATATAGAGAACGGAGAAAGAAATGGTGTGATTCGCGTTGTGCTGTAGGACAGCCGTGATTTTCCACCTCGCTTCCAAAGCCCAAGAAACTTTTCTCGTCACTCCTTCGATACAAAATTTGTACAATGTATGCATAGTCTAAATAGGCAGATGTAGATACGATACATGCAAGCAGCAGGCGGTAGTCGCAAGACGCTGCATCAATTACACGATGGTCTCCGCCAGTATGCGCGGCCGGATCGTCTCGGCTGAAGACCACGCGCCAACGACCGGTGCACGGAACCTCGTTACGGGGATGACTCTTGTCTCCTCCATCCGCGCTCGCACACACAAACAGCATGTTTTCGCATGGCTTGAGCTCCTGCGGTGTTGCTGCATCACCATCTCCAGGGGCTTTAGGCCTGTCCTCCATCGGCCGTTTTATTTTCGATTTAGATACACAAACTTTATTTCTATTCTAATTTCAAGTAATTCCACCTTCTTATTCTCCGTCATACAAGCAAAACGGCCGATGGAGGACAGGCCTACCAGGGGCTTTACGGACAACATCAGCGGTGGTTACCTTTCAGCCAAAGCGACCACACATCGCTCGCCGAAACGAATCAATTCCCTCCGCCCACCGATCTTCCGCTTGAACCGTCACATGCTGTCCTCTCGCTCTCGGAATTGTTTGACGAAGAAGAAGGCGAGTTTCCGAATGCATTTTCTGTTTGGTATGTACGAGAAGGGTGTGTTGCTGCGAAGACACACGTGTACGACGGACCGATGCAATGCTTGCAGGGCCGCCATGTGGCGGGGTTGTTTGCTTGGATCTCTCCACCAAATCGAGATGATGATGCAAACCAGGGCTGATCGGTAGAGCACCCGGTCGCTTGGTATCCGCGCGCGTGGGTGTTCTGCATCGCGTCTAGCTCCTCCGCGATTCCTGGTGCCCACAGCAGTTGCATGCTCAAAGATACATGCGGATCATTTTTCTCCCTTGCTCGCTGCAGAGTACAAATATACCACGATTTGGAGCCTTGATTCGGCCGACCCAAAACCAAGGGGGCTGCGTACGCTCGCAAAAACGCTTGGCGCGGGGCAGCCAACCACGGACGACTCTTTTTGCTTCGTTCTCGTCGGATTTGTCGATCGCTTACAGGGGANCCCCCCCCCCCCCCCCCCCCCGGGGGGGGCTCCGTGTACAGTCGTGGCTCCGATACAGAAGGGTGGTGTGACGAAAGGCCCTCGACCCTCCTATATCGGCACCCCCCTCTTGCACATGTGCAGCAATGAGAGAGTGGGTACCCAACTATACTATTTTCGCCGTCGAGTCTGTGACAACCGATGTCGAGCCCCCTTTTTTCGGTGCCGCGACTGTGTTCTACTTGAAAAGTCGTGGACGTGAAGGTCATGGACGTGAAAATGCTGCGATGTCGACGGCAAAAGCGTCTTCTGGCTTTTGGCTCAAGTAAAACCAATCACCCATTGCTCGCTGAGTTCGCGGCGTTTCTATGCGAGACAAATATCTTCCAACCCACCCCACGCCGGGGAAACATTGTTCGCTGTCTGGGGTGCCGTATGGCTCTATGGTGTTTCACCTAACCCTTGTCTCCCGACGGTGTCCCTCTGTCTCCCTTGCTGCTGCGGCTTCGCGGCAGAAACTGACGGCGACCTCCCGACCTACCGTCCTTGTGAGCCTCGTCTGCCGACAGGCCAAGGCAGGCGGCCGCGCCGCTGACTTGGTTCAGGGGTGGGGTTGGTTTCCTCGGCGGAAGAGGCGTTGCGTGGAGGGGGGATCGATTGTGGTTGTGTTGGCGAGGGCTATTGGCGACGCAGGAAGGGATCGGTTAGCGTTGGCGAGGGCTCTCGGCGACGCGGAGCATGGTTGAGATCATGGACAGGGGAAGGGAGGTCGAGTGGAGTCCCGACATGGAGCTGGAAGGGTGAGAAGGAGCGAGAGGGAGAGAGTCGAGGGGATGAAGGATGTGATGTGGGATATTAGCCGCTAAAAGTCTGGTGGACAGCAGAGACAGGGAGGGAGAGGAGAGAAACAGAGACAGGCAGAGACGGACAGGGACAACAAGCCTTAGGCGAACAGATGAGAGGCAGAGCACAGGAAAGAGTGTCTCCCGCGACAAGACCAGGCCACCTGTCCAGCTGTCTCTATGTTTTGTCTCCTCCCATATTTCCTCACATGCAAACATGCGCGCGGACTCGAGTCTTGCTCTGCACACCACCCTCCTCCTCCTCCTCGACAGTTGGCAAAGCATCAGCTCGGTAGTCCTTACGGCACTCTTGCGGCCGGTCAACACGTATGTTGATGTGTGTCTGATTTTTACCAAGTGTTGGCTGGTGCTGCCGTGACAGGGATGACGCGGAGAAGGCTGCCGCTCTCTTGCTGGCGGTGGCGCCCCGTAACCGCTCCTTCGACGCGACACAGAAACCCGAGGTATTGTATGTCTACAGCAGTACCCGTCGCCCCCTGCAGCACAGGGATACATTGGGGGCCCTCTGTAGTGCCGGGGGGTGTCCCGAGATTTTAGAGGCACTATACTGGCACCGGCCCTATTCAGAGTACAGAACGACTGGGTATTTTCCGTTGTGTGCGAGCCGAAAACACCGGCACTAAAGAGGGCCCTCCACTGCATATCCATCACCACCCCGATTTGTACCAATACAGCAGTCGTGTGTATACATCAAGAGGCATTCATAGTGAGAGAGAGAAGTTGTTTGCGTGGGGACGGGTGGAGGATGGTGGAAGTGGTTCCTCCCAAGCAGCGCAATGATTGCCGTCGCTTTCAGGAACCAACCTTTTGCAGCACCATTCTTCAAGCCGTTGCCCAATATACCCCCCCCCCCCCCCCCCCCCCCCCCCCCCCCCCCCCCCCCCCCCCCC